TTTATAGATCCAGATGGGATGAAAAGAAAAGCAATGCACTTTATTTTCATGAACTGATGGAATCACTTTACTCCAGGGGCGGACTGACCATTTGGAAACTCGGGCACTGCTCGAGGGCCCGGGGTCAGTAGGGGGCCCCATGAGATGCCCCTGGTACCTGTTTCATAGTTTTTTTGAGTTTGGGCAAGGACACAGGGGCCCCATGATCCCCTATTGCCCGGGGGCCCCATGAGTTGTCAGTCCGCCCCTGCTTTACTCCTTTGCACAGACTGTTGATCTATTCTGAAAATATCAATAATGTATTTATTGGTGAATTATTATTGTGTTTTACTTTATTTATTGTATAAATTCGGGGTATTTATTTATGTATACTTTTTTGAGCATACATTTTAATCTTCGTACTGCTATTTAAATGTTTATGGTAAAAAAAAACTACACATGTGTATTTGTATATTTGTGCATATATTTCTGCATATTGGCTCAATTCCATTTTAAAGAGTATTAATGGCATACAGCGTTACAGCGTTACTCCTTCAAAGAAAAAAAAAATGTAAGTATATACTATTAGTCAAATTGCAATTAGTCTGAGACTTCAGCAGCAGAAAATGAGTGAATTAAGAACTTGAGTAGTGTTAATTAACCTTCCTATGATTCTGATCCTTTATCTTGTGAAATGAAAGCTCCTCTCCTTGTGATAGGTGTCTTCTGGTGGAACTGTAGCCATGAAGAGGAGTTTATAAAAATTCATTTAACGAACAGCAGAGATTAGATGTCTAAGGTGGTGTTATTCCTATTGATTTGCTGTTGTATTTGTACTGAACGGTAAAGAGCAGACATGCTGAAAATCAATTGGATGCTGCCTTTCTTCCCACTCCTTCCACAGTGTGACTCGGAATGAAATGCTTATATCATTTTTATGATATGTCTATGCCAGGGATGAGCGGGTCCGGAGATAAAGCATTGCTCTTGACTTAACTGGGCCACGGCCCAGCACGTGCATCATTACATTTTACTGTACAGCCCAATAAAGGGGAGGGCTGCGGGTTTTTTAAGGAAGAATTCCAGATATGAATGTTTTCACATAGTTACATTGGTCCAGCTTGGACCAATTAAACTATATATATACAGTGGGGATCGAAAGTTTGGGCACCCCAGCTAAACATTTGTATTAATGTGCATAAAGAAGCCAAGGAAAGATGGAAAAATCTCCAAAAGGCATCAAATTACAGATTAGACATTCTTATAATATGTCAACAAAAGTTAGATTTTATTTCCATCATTTACACTTTCAAAATAACAGAAAACAAAAAAAATGGCGTCTGCAAAAGTTTGGGCACCCTGCAGAGTTAATATCCTGCACTGCCCCCTTTGGCAAGTATCACAGGTTGTAAATGCTTTTTGTAGCCAGCCAAGAGTCTTTCAATTCTTGTTTGAGGTATCTTTGCCCATTCTTCCTTACAAAAGTCTTCCAGTTCTTTGAGATTTCTGGGCTGTCTGTCACGCACTGCTCTTTTAAGGTCTATCCATAGATTTTCAATTATGTTGAGGGCAGGAGATTGTGAAGGCCATGGCAAAACCTTCAGTTTACGTCTCTTGATGTAATCCCCTGTGGATTTTGAGGTGTGTTTAGGATCATTATCCATTTGTAGAAGCCATCCTCTCTTTAACTTCAGCTTTTTCACAGATGGCATCAAGTTACCATCCAAAATTTGCTGAAATTTTATTGAATCCATTTTTCCTTCTACTCGTGAGATGTTCCCTGTAACACTGGCTGCAACACAACCCCAAAGCATGATTGATCCAACCCCATGCTTAACAGTTGGACAGAGGTTCTTTTCATTAAATTCTGTGCCCCTTCTTCTCCAAACGTACCTTTGCTCATTCCGGTCAAAAAGTTCTATTTTAACCTCATCGGTCCACAGAACTTTTTTCCAAAATGCATCAGGCTTGTCTATATGTTCATTTGCAAAGTTCAAACGATGATTTTTGTGGTGAATACGTAGAAGAGGTTTTCTTCTGAGTACTCTTCCATGAAGACCATATTTGTACAAGTATCTCTTTATAGTGGAATAGTGTACCACAACTCCAGTGTCTGCCAGATCTTTCTGAAGGGATCGTGCAGTCAAACGTGGGTTTTGAATTGTTTTTCTCACAATCCTGCGAGCTGTTCTGTCTGATATTTTTCTTGGTCTTCCAGATGTTGCTTTAACTTCCACTGTTCCTGATGACTGCCATTTCTTAATTACATTCCGAACAGAGGATATTGACATCTGAAAACGCTTTGCTATCTTCTTATATCCTTCTCCAGCTTTATGAGCGTCAACTATTTTCAGTTTTCTAGACAACTGCTTAGAAAAACCCATGGTGCTGATTGTTGAGGCAAGGTCAGATGAGTCTGGGCATTTAAAACCTTTGAGATTGACATCACGGGGTTTATTTACAAAAGCTGGAGAGTCCAAAATCAGACTCCCTTCTGCATAGAAACCAATCAGCTTCTAACCTCAGCTTGTTCAATGAAGCTTTGGCAATGAAACCTGGAAGCTGATTGGTTTCTGTGCAGAAGGGAGTCTGATTTTGGACTCTCCAGCTTTTGTAAATAAACTCCCACCTGTCTTCCCAGATGATGATTGAGAACAATCCATGACACTGGCAGGTCTCAGCTTTGCAAAGGGGGCAGTGCATGCTATAAAATCTGCAGGGTGCCCAAACTTTTGCAGACGCCATTTTTTTGTTTTCTGTTATTTTGAAAGTGTAAATGATGGAAATAAAATCTAACTTTTGTTGACATATTATAAGAATGTCTAATCTGTAATTTGATGCCTTTTGGAGATTTTTTCATCTTTCCTTGGCTTCTTTATGCACATTAATACACATTTTTAGCTGGGGTGCCCAAACTTTCGATCCCCACTGTACCATACCTATGGGATCCTTCTAGAAGTTGGAAATCACCTCTATTCCAGTGATTTCCTTTTGCTTCTGGGTCCCATGCTGAGCATCTGCCCTGGGAGAACAATCACACACCGGCCAGGTAGTGCCATGGTTAGGATTCAAACTGATGACCCTAGTGCTGCTAATCAGTAATCTGTGTTATATTCAATGGAACATTTCAGAAAAGAGTGCAGTCTAATTAGTAAGCATTGGTAACTAAATGTGCGCAGGAGCTGTTTGGTATCTTTTATATTTTTCTGTCCCCTAATTTCCCAATAGACAGAAATGACTCCATCCTATTCCCACTGCAATTTATTAATCTGCCTGAAACTTTTCGCAACCACTATATTTTTATGCATTATGCCATATTTCACAGCGGCACTAAAATCAGCCACATTTTACTGGATAAATCAGAACATATTGCAGCACACATGGTCATAACGGGATGCCCCCCCCCGCATGCCCTTATCTCCATCCAGAAGTACTGCAAGGACACAGTTCACTCCGTATACATAAAATGCCCTTTTAGTAAGTCGCGGAGTAAGCCATTGATGGCACATTGCCCGCATCCCCTAATAAAAATTAAGAAATTGATTTTCTTTTGTTTGCCTCACAGGACAGGACTTGGCTTGGGTTTATGAGACTGTAAATTCATTGCATCTCTAAGCAGAGGGAGAAAAAAAAAAACAATGTTATCTGTTCTGCTTTCACTCACTCAGGTTTATGAAGCTTAATTTACAATATTTGCCAGCATGAAGCACCGCCGGGTACAAATCACTATTTCATTGCATTTCCTATAAGATACAGCGTGTTGATGACAAGCTTAACAGACAAATAGACATCATGCCCTACTGAACAGAAATTATTTTTGTTTACAGAGAATGATAGCTATCAGTTTTTAAAAGTAACTTTATTTTAGTATTTTTGAAGATAGATTGAAAAGAAGTGTGCAAGTTTTTCTACAAATGAAACTAAACCCTATCCTTATTCTCCAGAAATACTTTGTACACATCACATGCTTAAAGCAGTATTAAACCCACAACAGTCAAATCAGTCTGTATATGCAGTACAGCATACTTGTTATACTCACTGTGGAACCTAAGGGGTTAATCCTCTGCATTGTATAAAAAGGATGTTTGATCCTTTCTTCTCTGCCCCTCCTCTTGTTTAAATGACCACCTGATACAGACGAAATCCGTAGTCACATACACATGCTCTGTTTGGTGTGTGTTGCTAGAGAGGTTTTTTTTTCTTTGGAGAGTGCATGTGATCCGCACAGAGCCAATCATCACTGTCCAGACAGAGGGTCAGGGGTTTCACATCCTCCTAGAGCAGAAAGAAAATCCCTCCTACAAGCTTTAACCACTTCCAGTCCGGACACTTTTACCCCCTTCCTGACCAGGGTAATTTTCAGCTTTCAGCGCTATCACACTTTGAATGACAATTGCGCGGTCATGCAACACTGTACCCATATGAATTTATTTACCATTTTTTTGAGATAGATAAAACTTTATTTTGGTGGTATTTATTCACCGCTGGGATTTTTATTTTTTTTGCTATGTAAATGAAAATGTCCAAATATTTTGAAAAAAAAGTGTTTTTCTTATAAAATTTTGCAAATAAATAATATGTCATCATAAATCTTGGACAAAATGTATTCCGTTATCTTTTTAGTAAAAAAATAAATAAATAATCCAAATTAGTTTATAACCAAAAATTATAATTTTTAAACATTTTTTTTTACATTTTTATTTTTTTTTTATATATATATATTTTTTTTACATACTGTCACCCTAGCAGTACAGTGTCACCATGGGGACACTGTACTACTTTTGGGGGGTAATGAAGATTTTTTTTTATACTGATTGCTTTTACACCCATATAGTATGTAAAAGCAATCATTTCTCTTTCTCTCTGTCTGCATTCTTGCAGCCATTGAGAACTACTGAGTGAGCTGTGATTGGTCACAGCTTGTCACATGGTACAAGGCTGTTGTGAATAGCCTTGTACCATGTGACCTCTGTGATCATTCACAGATTTCACACGTAGTAAGCAATGATGTCAGAAGTGACATCTTGCTTACTACTTTGCATGTGATCACTGATTGGCCAATCAGTGATTACATGATCAAGACCTCTTACAGAGGTCCCGTCCGACGATCGGTGTTGCACTGTGTCCCGGGAATCGCGCACAAGAAGGGTGCGGGGAGGCCGTTTATAAACAGCCACCCGACCCTGCAGTGCCACCGTCCGGCCGTTTATATACAACGGCCGGTCGGGAATGGGTAACCAGTGCTCTCCTGAAGTCACAAGACTGCTTTAACTGCTGATGAGAAAAGGTATTTGGCAGTTTATATTACTAAAATAATTGCATTTCCATGTGGTGTGTACTGTGGGAGACCAGATATAGTGAATGCAGGGTCCAGGGTTTAGTAACACATTATAGCAGTACTAAACCCAAAAGCAAAGATTTATATTATTGCAGCTTACCATTTCATAGATGTGATGGCAGCATTAGTTTTCATTTTTAGGCTTTCTTTTTTCTATTTTCACTTGGTGATCTGGCCAGTAAGTATGTTGCTTTTCAAAAGTAAAAGCTCTCTAACAGATTTTTCAGCGTACAGGGATTAGACAAACCATTTGAAGTATAACTAAAGGCAAAACTTTTTTTTTTATAGAGTGGAGAGGGATTAGAACCCCTGCCATGTTTTTACTGCTGTCTGTGCCCCTGATAGGGAGATTCCCCCCTCTCTATTTGTCCTGTTTATCATTATCATTGAAAGTGAAAGTAAAAGAAAACACCAAATTTGTGTTTTCCCCAGAAAAGTAATAGAAGGGACATTTTCCAATAGGAACACTAGTTTTGATAACCTGGTGGTCGCCAAGGAATTTCCCAAATTTGCAGAGATTTTCTCATTTCCTGTTTTGAGACAGGAAGTGAAGGTAAATCTCCCTAATGAGACTCAGATGGCAAAAATACACTTATAGGGGTTATAACCATCCCTTATTCTATCCAAAATGAAAAAAAAAGTATCTTTAGTTCTACTTTAACACTAACAGGGGTGCTTACAATGATGAGCTATTATTTATCTATGTAAACCTTTATCCCAAATGAAAAAGAAAAAAAAAGCTGTTTGCTGTAACGGCTGATAAAGTGATCTGGAGTATGATTTTAACTTGTTTGTGTGTTTAAATCTTCCACTACATCTAACACTTCCCTCTCCCCAGACTTACAATGCTGCTGCCAAAAGGTGCCCCCTCATTCAATTCGGATTCTGGTAGATTTGTGTTTTTAATTGTCACAGTCAGTCATTTTAGTTCCACAGTCTAATGCAATTCTTAGGTTTGAAAAATTCAGGGCTGCCGAATTGTGCATTATATCATTGGATGCATCCAAAAATATTGAATGGGTTTGATATTGAACAACAAATCCACACAAAAAAACAAAAACTAATATATAGCAATCTTTCAATAAAATTGCAATGTTTTACGGATCTACCTGAACCAACGAATATACAAAACGAATGCCGAATATACGGAATGGATTTTGAAAATGAATCAGTTTAGCATAATGAATATGGTGAATCAAAATTCTTCAATGAAATAATGCATTCGAAACAAAACTTTTCATGTCTAATTGAGAACAAACATAGCCTCCCTCTAACAAGAAGTTAGATAGCAGCAAAGAAAAAAAAACACATAATTTGGGGATTTGGAGGAGGCTGAGAGCAATAGAAGGGAAATTCTTGAGTTAAGAAAATATAAATAAAGGAGAAGTATAGCCAAAGCTTGTTTGGCTACACTTCTACTAGGGATCACAAGAGTGCAGTTTATTCTGTGAGTCCGCAGTCGGCTGACGTTACTCAACTGATCCAGGCTCTGAAAAGATCCTGACCATATGTTCACGATCCACCCAGAAGCTTGCACCGGCACCTGGCTTAGCCTCTCAGTGATCCGCCAAGAGCAATGAGCCAGCCCCAATGAGCACTCCAGTGAGCTCTGGAGGGTCAGAGAAGAGAGCTGGAGACTGACAGCCATGCCTCTCTGCTCAGAGCGGAGGGGGAGAACTGAGCAATCGCTGTGTTTGATTGCTCAATTCTCACTGCATAGACAGAGAAACAGATGCAGCATCAAATCTATACTGCTTCCATCTCAGTGAGTATGTTTTTTTCTTCAAAAGCCCATACATTTTTTTTTATAAACCAAAGTGCAACTGAGGACAAAACGTTAAAAATTGCAGGCATGCAGGCCTTTTATTGCAGAAGAGACTTGAGGACCCCTGAAGACCACCATCACACGAGTACTCCAATTATTGTTTGAGTTCCCTAAATTATTGAAGAAGGATTCATTAAAACAAATCAGTTATTATTCTTGATATCCAAGTTTGTGTGGCTCATGCTCACATATATGGGTTGATTTACTAAAATTGGGGTGTTAGGGATCCGGGTATGACCAGAAATGTGTGGACTGACACAGGGAAACACAGGCTCCAGGTATAGTATAAAACATTACAATTTATTAAAGACTAAATAATACATAAATGCAGTGCAAGACTAAACATAAACGCAGTGCAAGACTAAACATAAACACAGTGCAACCAAACCTCCAACAGATAACAATAAGAACAATACTAAACGTAGTCGGGCAGGCCGGGTCGGTAGCAAATGGGCAGGCAAGGTACAAGGAGCAGGCGGAAGCGTAGTCAGGAATAGGTCGAGGTCAGGACAGGCAGAGTTTATGCAGAGTCAGGATTAAAGCAGAATCAGGATCAGGCAGGAAGCAGACAGGATGCAGGTACAGGGGCTCATGGGAAACATACATACACAAGGCCCTGATCACAGGCCTGGCCATTCCTTAAATACACCTGCTGTAATCAGCCTCAGGTGATGGCTCATTGCAGGAGTGAGCCTCTGGTTGCGGAGAGCACCCGCTGGCCAGCCCTGGTACTGCAGCCCACAAGGCAGGTGAGTCCCTCCACCACTGGCAAGTCCATTCCTGACATGGGGAGTGCAAAATCTGGTGAAGCTGTACATGGTAGCCAAACAGCCTCTAAACTTCAGTTTGTTCAATTAACCTTTGGCAATAAAACCTGGAAGCTCATTGGTTTCTATGCAGAGTTGCACCAGATTTTGTGCTCTCCAGTTTTAGTACATCAACCCCATAGGCTCTCAACAGCGTTGGATATTTTGGCTGGTTGACCACTGTGGGGGTTATTTATTAAAACTGCATGGAGCAACATCTGGTGCAGCTGTGAATAGAAATAAATCAGCTTCCAGGTTTTGTTGTCAAAACTTGATTGAACAAGCTGAAGATTCTGAGTGCACCAGTTTTAGTAAATCTCCCCCGTGTGTCACTGGCTGGGTTCTGTAGCATAGCCAAAACATGAGCAACTTTATGTCCTGGAGAATCAAGGTAACCAATTAAGTTTAGCCGTACACATTGTTTTAGGAGAATCATTTGTCAATGGCATTCTGAATAATTTTCAGAAAACAAAGCATTAAATCTTTACCATGTTAAGGATTTTTTATCAGGTCGATTTCATTTCTAACTTGCAATATTGCCTTGTGCTTCTCTGCAATTGAACACTTACTGGATTTTTACTGTGTTTAATGGATGGAGTGGATTGTTTAGCATACACCTATGTATCATAGGACTCAGGGGTCTCCCAACAGCCTTCTAAAATGCCTAACACCATGAACAATTTCCTGTAAACAGAGCAGCATGTCACAATCACTGCTTCTCAAAGTACCATGACAATGAATATGTTCATGTTTATGGGATGGAAGCACGGCTACTTGCAGAATCTGGAATTTCAGCCCGGAAACCCGATCACTGTTGTTGAGCTGAAATGACCTTTTTCGATGAGTGATATAACAACGCTATAGTTATGGGAAAGGATGTAATTTATTATCTGCTTGACTGAGGAATATGCTACAAACTCTTGCCAAGTTAACTACAAAGTTCTAGTTTTAAGTTTTGTATGTCACAGAAAATATATTTTTTGGGGTAACAACTGTAATATGATTATGATGGCGAAAAGGCAAATGTTTAATTTACTACAAGGGAAATATATTAAAATAGGCAACCGCCCATAAAGATTGTACAGCTTCTTGGTTTTACTTTTTACATACAGTAAATTAATACTATTTTAAGACATTACTATTCAGTTCATTAACAGGTAAGAATCACTATAGTGTGGGCGTACTGTAGTTCTTGTCCTTAATGGCATATATATATCTCAATCTCAATCTATATATCTCTCTATATATAGAGAGAGATATATATATCTCAATATACATATACATCTCAATATCTATATATCAATATCTATATATCTATATCTATATATATATTAGACGTGCATTCCAGAAATGTTCATTTTGGATACATTCATTCATTTCATCATATGTTCATCATATGTTAAACTGTATTGTTTTCAGAATTTGTTTCATATATTCTTTGGTCTGGGTGGATTAAAAAATTGTTGCTGTTTTTTCCAGAAGATAATTATATATTTAATATATTATCGAATCGGACGGATTTGAAATTTTCAGATGCTAGTCCAGCCAACCAAGAGAAATGCCATGAGCTGTTTTTGGACAATAATGACTGGCATCATGTGCATCTGAATTAACAAATGAACCAAAATTTGGATCCATTTGTTATCCAAATCCGAATTATTGAACAAAATAATTTTATTCATTTCCCCACGGGCCGAACTCTTATCGCATCACGTGATGTCACCTGAATGAAATGAATGCATTTGTTAATTTCAATATAACTTTTTTGCATTCATTGATATTTGTTATCATGTCCATTGGGAGATTTGTATGCATCGGAATCTCCATAAAAAATTTTTTTTTTTAAACTAAACACACATGTCTAATATCTCTATCTATCTATCTATCTATCTATCTATCTATCTATCTATCTGTTGGGAATGCAACAGCATGTACTATATACAGTATTGTGTGTTAATATCACTTCACCAGTAGATGGCACTGTACACTAAGGTTACCAGTTGTGCATATGTGTAAAACTTGTTGTCTTCTCGTCTCTCTCTTTATAACCAAAATGTCTGCTGTCTACTAGTGTCTTCTCTAACACATAACCAACACTATTTATCATCTATCTATCTATCTATATATATCATACAAAATTTGATACATGAGAACAGTACATATAGCAAAAAAAAAAAAAAAAACCTGGTGGACCCCACTATTCCTGTTTATGCAAAAGTAACAAAC